AGAACTCCCTGTTCCCGGGGCCCCACGACCACACTTGTGCGTGTGAGCGTACGTACTGTGCTCTTGACCCCGATTCTTACAGCAAAGACACTGAATAAGTCTCTGTCCTGGAGCTAGGGAAGGTTATTCAAGGGAATACTAGAAATACTTTACACACTAAATGTCCTGGATAAGAAGAAATGAAACTCCTATTATCAGCTAGAATAATAGGCAGGAGGAGCTGAGCCCCAAAGGCACCTAGCCACCCTTTGGGACAGCAAGGTCCACCTTGCCCCAGTTAGGTATGACCTCACCTTCTCTCGGCATTACTGACCTGCCTCCTCCCTGCTGGCAATCTTGATGCGGGTCAGGTCAGCTGATTGGCTGACACTGGAGTCCTGCAGTCTTCCCTCTGCAGCTCCCTGCAGTCCACAGAGCTCTGGGCCTGTTCCACATTCTTGAGTCCAAATTGCAAAATTCTTGAAAAACACCGAGCAGAAACCCCAAAGGGAATGCTACTTGGCTGAGCACTAGGTCAACTGGGCAATGAACCCTGCACATGAGCCTGTCTCTGGGGTGACCCAAGCAGCATGCTCTCCCAAACTTGTGCACGCAAGTACGCACATACGTGTGCGCACGCGCGCACATGCGGTTACTTTTGCCAAGACCTTTCCGCGGCTCAGGATTGTTGGCCAGTGGTGCCCTTGCCCCGAAAGATTATAGAAAGACCACCAGCCCTTAGGTACTTTCAGGGTTTTTGGCATTTCCCTATCGCCTTTCTTGCTGACATCTTGGAATGAAAGGAAAGCAGGAAGGGAGAGAAAGTGGGTCCTGGATAGTATGTGAGTGCAGCCCTAGCTTGGAAATGCATGCCTCTGGACTGTGTAAGGTATCTCTAATAAAATAAAATCCTATTAATTTTTTTAAGGAATCGACTGACAGCTGACCCTCTAGCAGGTTTGAGCCTGCAGAACTCAGGGGTAGAGATTACCGATCCTTCTCCCATAGAACCAGGAAGGTTGCCAACCTTGGGCTTAGCCGCGCAATTCCCAATCTACTAGGTCACTAGAACACACACACACCCTGTTTTTAGTGAGTTTTTAGTCTTGTTTTGCCATTTATACCTAAATACAGAAATCGGATTTTGGAGCAGCCGTGGAAGAGGAGAAGTATTTCCTCTCCCGCAACATTCCTCATCATTGCTAGTGAATCTCACTGGAAAACGTGCTTAGATTCAGTTCAATAAACACTTCCCGGACACCTGGCAGGAGTCCCTGGTTACATAAAAGTCTGCAGCTGCTAACTTAAGTCCACCCAGAGATTTCTTAGAAACACTGGTTGGTAATTTACTTCTGAAAAGTCACAGTTACCGAAAACTCGAAGGAATACAAGTGAACTCGTAAACACAGGGGTCGCCAGAACTTGGAATCAATTAAATAGTCTTCAATAGGTTTCATGCACTTGACATTGGAGAATGCCAAGAAAAACTGGACTCAGACCTCTTGTGCTCAAGGAGCTCACAATCCAACGAGTCTCCTTGGTGCCAGAATGTCATTCCACCCATTCATAGGAACAGGCTTTTCTACTAAAAACAGGCTTCAGCCCTCCTAACTTGTGATTGTTGGCATTTATGTCACACATGTGGCCTATGGGGTTGGGACTTGCCCCAGTGAATCCTAGTGACTTCAGATGAAAAATTATTTTGATAGCCTTGAGAGAGGAAAACAATTGTTGTTTCAAGGTAAATACACAGGTCATAACTTTTCCAGAACAGTGTATATCTATCCTCTGGTATCAGCTTGACATCGATACCATGAGACCTATAGACCAGGAAGATGTTGTTATCTTCATTGTTAAACAAGGAAACTTGCCTATCTAGGTTCTGAAATTTTGAGAAATGAGTGGAAAATAATTTCAAATCACTGGGGAAAGAATTAACTGTTCAACATATGGTTTAAGATAATAAACTGCACATGTCAAAACCAGTAAAGAAGCCAGATCTTAACTCTAATCCTTACTGAGTGGATTATGGAATATATTGCACTGCCAACCCAAGGGCATGAGGTTCAAATCTGTCAGCTGCTCTGAGGTAGAGAGATGGTTCCAACTGCAGAGCAGTGACTGAGTGAGATGTGTTGCTGTTGTCATTATGTGCCATCAAGTTGAAACCAACTTATAGCTGACCCTTTAACAGGTTTTCAAGGCAATAAATTACACAAGAGGATATTGCCCATCTTTCTCCCAAAGAACGACTGATTGATTTGAAGCACCAGAGATTAGAAGCACAACTCCCTACAGCCTATACTACCAGAGGTCTGTATGTAAATATAGACAAACTGAACTTATGCAGCCACTAATTACCAGATTGGAAGTTCAAGTCTTCCCAGAGGTACCTCAGAACAAAGGCCTGGCTATTTATTAAAAAAAAAATCATGAAAGCCAAATAAGTACAGTACTATACAAATTGGTTTTCAATTAATTGGTGCTGACTCAGTGACAATTGTTAAGTGGGAACAGACTACCTTACTTTACTACCACGGAGCGAGCGGCTAGTGGGTTTGCACTGCCAACTGGGGCCGATACCAGCTTCCTTTACATCGCAACAGCCTCAGTCCAGCCTCACAACACACTCTGCATATGTCTATGCCAACATAAAAGTGAGACTATTTATTTTACACTTTTCATAGTGAAGAGCCTGTACACAAAGAATAATGTAACAGTATTCTGCTTCAGGGAGCACACAGCTCTTTTGGGGAGGATTTATTTGACACCAGTTTGTAGATTTAGTTTGTTGACCTAATCTCAGGACACAATGGAAAGCGTCCCTCTGGCTGATGAATCTGCTGTGCAGAAGCTGTGCTGGGAATATGCAGCCCAGAGAGAGGATCAGCCCTCAAGGCCAAAGTGGGAAGAGAAGAGGGAGGAGCCAAACACACACTGTCAATGCTCCAGCAACAACAATTTTGAGTCACTTCCATTTCTGTTTCTAGAAGGCTCTTTTCCCTTTCATAATCCTTAGGTTGACAATCTTGAAGGGGTTGGAAATAGAGACCACAATTCCCTGAGCCTTACCCACAAGTCCCCACTGCTGGTAATATTCAGAGATAGACCTGGGCCTTCTCAAGCCTCACTCCTGCTCACTAGAATGGCCTGGGCTCTGGTGTGTCTTTCTTTTCAGACAGAAACTGGTGACATTCCTGTACAAGACATACTTAAGGAACTACTCAGGCTAGGGAAGGCAGCCCAGAGCACATCTTGTGAGGAGCCAGCCTCTTTGTCAAGGACTGATGTTCTGATGGGCTACAAAATCTGGTTAACACTAGAGACAGCCTACATCTGAGCTCACTTATTACTTTGAAAAATGACATCTCATATAAAGGTGCCTGGAAGGATGGAGGGTAGACAGTGTTGTCCCCTTGGGTCAGATGAAAAGCAGACACAGGACACACACCCAAGATAAAACATCTGAGACTTCTTTGGGAAGAACGAGAGAGGATAGACAAGAGAGAAAGGGACCAGTTACCACTACTCCCTTGCCTTCTACTTATTCCTCTCCCTCTTTGAAACTTAAGCCTCTAGCCACAGAATCACATAAATAAAAGAAACTCTGAAAAGCTGGTTGCCATCAAGTCAACTCCAACTTTAGGTGATCCAACATGGGCTGGGGTGGATGGGTGCTCCCATAGGGTTTTCTGAGGCTGATTTTTTTAAAATTATGTCAGCAGGCCTTTCTTTCAAGGTTATCTCTGGGTGGACTCAAACTTCCAACCTTTGAGTTAGCAGAGCACTTTAACTGCACCACTCTCAAACTCAGACATGTTACCATTGAGTCAGAATCAGCTCACAGCTGACTCTCCTAGTGGAGTTTAGGAAAAAGGCAGTAATTTCCTGGGGAGGAGATTTGCCCATCTTTTCCCCATGGACCTGCTGGTGGAGCCTCCACAAGACACTCTGAAGACGATTATGCCAGACTCTTCACTTCACACACTGGGGGCCATGTAGAGCAGGGTGAGGAGCCTGGGGTTGGCACCAGGCAAATCTGGGTTAAAATTCTGCTGCGCTCACTTCACACCCATGTGCTCTAGGGCAGAGCTTTTAGCATCTCTGTCACAAATTCCTTATCTATAACATAGAGATAAGTAGGGTAAGGAAAAGGGCTCTCTGCCTGGCATGTTACAACTTTCAGGAAGAGTTCTTCTCTACAATTAACTTCCCCCGAGTAAGGAGCAATGAGAAGGACCACTGGAGGGAGGGTGGAGAGGCAGACGTGAGAGACTCCATGTGACTCTTAGGCCAAGGAAAGAGCCTAGAGCACATCAGGAGCACCCTCTTCATGGACAGGTCAGAAACATATTCAGGGAGAGAGGAAGAAGAGAGCTTTGTGGATACTTGACTCATTCTATCATTTTATTTGGAGGCTTTGAGGCCTAGAGAGCTGAGACGGCCTGTCAAGGCAAAAAGGAGAAGTCTTGGATATCAAACCCAAACCAGGTCTGAATGGGACAGGGACGCCCAGGGATTTCTCAATCTGTGTATTTGGAGTAGCTCCTTTGCCCATGTCACTATGAATGCTGATGAAGTCACAGCTATGGGTGTCTGCATCACACAGCTGTTCCACCAAGAAGTCAACTGGTATGGTGGTTTTTTTAAGTAATTAGGAGAAGCTGCAAAATTATTTAAAGAGAGAGAGTGAGAGAGAAGGTTATCCAAAAATAGTCATATGCAGAAGTTCATACTAAACCAAACTTTTTGCTTACAAGGCAAAAATTAAGCATTTTAAGAGTAAGAAAGTCAAACAATGCAAAAAATTGGGAGGAGTTATCATTACAAAAAACACACACACACACACACAAAAAAAAACCCTTTGCCAGGAAATCTATGACTGTGGCTTTTTATGAATGGGAGGCCCCATACACTCTACGTATAAAAGGGGGACCTGAGGTGAAGGTCTGCACACTAGGGGCTTGCTCTTACAGACCCAAACCACAAGGCAGACTCGAGGAAAGAGGCAGAGCTCCACCATGCCCCGCTCAGCACTGCTATGCTGCCTGGTCTTCCTGGCCACGGTGGGAGCCAGCCAGGTCCAGGGTGCCGGGTCTCAGAACAGCTGCACCTACCTACCAGACAACCTACCCCACATGCTCCGGGAGCTCCGTGAAGCCTTCGACAGGGTGAAGACTTTCTTTGTGAGTATGATTCCCTCCTGTCTGTTCTTCTTGAGGCTGCCTGAGCTAGACATTCCCCTGGAAGAGCCCTCCTCCTTCTTTACCCCATTCCCGGAAGCTCCCAACCCCACTGCCATCAAGCTGACCTTGTAGCATAGAGTAGAACTTCCCACAGACTGCTTTTCTCTCACGGACTTCAAACAACCAACATATTTGTTAGCAGTGAAATATGTTAACCTCTATGATGCTACATGCACGCTCCCCAAATTAAAATTCTTAAGGGAATTAGAGAGGAGGCCATAGATTCAGTGAATTCTGCTAAGCCTAGATGATATGCCAAGTGTGTAGGTGAAATTGCCTTACTTGTAAACGCACTGGCTGCAGAAACTTCTGCTAAAACGCCACCAGCTCTCAGACCATCGACTGAGAGCTCTCCAGAAGGGTCTAATTGGAGAGGATGTTCCCTGTACCTGGTGGTGAGAAAACACAAATGTCTCTTCTTAGAAGGACAAATACCTTCCAAGGTTTGGGGAAGCTTCTGCACAGGAAAAAAAATTGCATTAGCAGGAGCTTCTTCCAGAGTCCTTTCAGAGCCTTCACTGGATATTCACAGGAAGAGGACAGAGCAGTAAGGTGCAGGACTTGAGGGAGGGGTGCAAGGCATTAACGAGTTAGCTCAGATGCCTTTTAATGTTTAATCACAACTGCAGAAAGAAGGCCAGCAGTGCACTTGCCTTCAATAATGGTTCAGAAGGGGGGGGGGGACCAAACCCACTTATATATCGTGTCCAAATTATAGCCACTCTCCTCCAGAAATTCTGTTCAAGGTTCTCCTTTCAGTTTTTGAAAGCTGCATTACTTAAAAATATCAAACTCTATAAATGAATAAGATGAGAAAGACACCAACTTCAGGTATTTCCCCAAACTGCGGGCTCACTCTGCCTTTGTTCTTCTTGCAGCAAACGAAGGATCAGCTGACTAACATGCTGTTAAATGGGTCCTTGCTGGAAGACTTTAAGGTGAGAGCAGGAGCGAGTGGGCTGGCACAGAGCGATTAAGGGAAGGGAGACTCTGCTTTGTGACTGGGGAGCTGGGCGTGCTTCCTTTGCCTTGAAAAGGAGAAGTGGGAAGATCTTAACTCAGCATTCGGGCGGCGGCAACTGGAGGGTTGCAAAGGGCTCAGTGCTGTTGGGGGCGAGGGGGAGGGGGGAAGGGGGAACCAGCTGGCCAAGGACCATCCCTGGGGACAGAGCTGTCCTCTCAAGCCACAGCAGCAATTCGTCCCACTTACCAACCCTCTCCTCTGGCTCCTGCCCTTAGGGTTACCTGGGTTGCCAAGCCTTGTCAGAGATGATCAAATTTTACCTGGAGATGGTGATGCCGCAGGCAGAGAATGAGGGCCCAGACATCAAGGAGCATGTGAACTCCTTGGGGGATAAGCTGAAGGCCCTCCGGCTGAGGCTGCGGCGCTGTGTAAGTAGAAGTTCATTTCTTTCTCTGCGGGCCACCCTCCTCCTTCCCCCAAGAATGGGTCTTCTAGGGAGCAACAGAACCACCCCAGAGACACATCAACATGCAGCAGGCACACAATTCAGCAAGGCACCTAAAGTCAGATCTCTTGCTCATTTCTCTCTGAGCAGGGGGTGGGGGTGGCATTTACATGTGAAGATTTGCAAACAGCTTTCCTGTTATTTTGTGACTCATTTGTGGGTTATTAACTAGTCTCCTCTCTCTCGTGAAAGGGGCCCAGGGCTCCAGCCATGCACCCTTGAACGTAGCTCTGGGGCCTGGCATAAGGGGGACAGAAGGGACAGAGCCAATTCCACACTGTTCTTTTCTTCAGCCTTTTAGGACCCAAGCTCCAGGCAGAGCCAGGTGCTGGACTGTCCTGGACATTTTAGAAAAGCCTAAAGTATATTTACCCCCAGGTCTGATTGCCAGAGATTAATCTTCCCAGCCAATTTATATCCCCAACTGAAATGACTGGGAAACTCCACTGGTTTTCTTTGCTGTCTGTCCCTGGATGATACTGACACACCCGTTAAACCCTATTTGCAGGACAAGATTGTGCAAAGGACTTGGTCAGTATAGCCATTGACCACAGTCTCCATTCCTTGAGGATTTAGAGTCCTCAGTGGCTGAGTCTGGAGGAAAGCAACAGAACAGAGAGGCAGGACAAGGACATGCTGACAGAATCTAGCTCAGCACTCCAAGAGACACCAAGTCACTCTGGGGAGGAAGCCCTAAGCTTTGCAAAACATTTTAGGGTGACCCCTAGAGAGATGCAGGTCATCCTCCTCGGCTGGGGTTCTTCTCTGTGTGCTGGATAAGGTTAAGATTGGGCCAAGGTTTCCCAGGGAATGGACGTGAGCTGAAGCTTGTCCCCAAATATGTCCACAGGAGCCGGGAGTCAGGGATTTACACTGTTTCTTCTTACAGCATCGATTTCTCCCCTGTGAAAATACGAGCCAAGCCGTGGAGCAGGTGAAGAGCACCTTTACTAAGGTGAGCACAAATAGGGGCCAAGAGGGCTCAGGAGCACAGCCTCTGTCCACTCCCAGGAGTGGGGTGTTTGTGGGGTGACAGGTGCTAAGCAGTCCCCCTATTCTTCACTCAGAGCGAGTGTGGGAACCCAGTACATGGTGTGACCTCCTCAGGCAGTGAGGAGCTGCCATCTGGGTTCTATTTGTTTTCTGTGAAGTGTCTTTGGGGGTTTCTAAATGACTGCTCCACGCCTTCACAATCCTGCTGGCTGGGCCAGCCAGTCAACCTGCAAACACAGCCAGTGGTGGCGGGGAGAGTGACAAAGGAAACAGAAAGTCCCTTGTTGGGAATTGAGGCTGAACCCACACGTGCAGAAAGCTGACACGTGAATACGCACGTACATACACATCTGGGGTTCAGCCTGGGCTCCCCAAAATTCAGAGCAGGAAGCAGGGTTCTCAGTTGTCTGGAACCGGCCCACTGCTCACTTTCCATCTGCCCCCATTCCTGCTGGAGGTCTGTAGGGGCATCAGCTTCCGAAGGAAAAGGGGCTTCACACTTACAGGAGTCCCTGAATCTTTTCAGTCTTACTCCCTCGAATCTGTGTGACCTCTGCCTTCCTTGATAGTGAGGTTCCAACAACAGAGACCGTCAGGGGTAGACCTGAGGAGCAGGGCCAGGCCGGGCAGGGCTGGCTCACGGAGAATAGGCATGGAAAAGTGCACCATTCTTTGCTCCCTTCTCCACCTCTCTCATCGTCTTACTTTCCCCCTGCTTCCTCTAATGTCTATTCATCACATTCTGACTAAGCATCATGTGAACCCCTGACCTTTAAAGCTGTTGAAAAGGCACCATTTTAAAGACAGTGCTTTAGGAAGCAAATCTTCCTCTTGCCACATGTTGGTCACTCCTCAGACCTGGAGAAGACAAAAGTCGATGTCGTCCTTCCCAGAGCCTCGGATTCCCGGGCTGTCCCTTCACTTCCCCACACCAGGAAGCAAGTGCAGCTTCTCTGCACCAGGGCCGTGCTTCCTTCAATGGACTGTGAATCCACACTTACTCAGCTGAGATCTAACCAAGCATTTCTCTCCTCCTTATACAGCTCCAAAAGAAAGGTGTCTACAAGGCCATGAGTGAGTTTGACATCTTCATCAACTACATAGAAGCCTACATGACAATGAAGAAGGACAGCTAGAACACCCTACGAAAAAGAAATCAAAGATGATGACTCTACCAGACTTTTACTCGACTCTAGGATATGAATGGAAGGCCTCTCAAATGATGTCAGGATTCTGGGGGAACTAAGCCAGATCTCTGGAAAATTCTGCTGTACCTCTCTCTTTGAATATTTATTTATTATTAGAATATTTATTGGGGAGTTTTGGCGGCATAGTCTGTAGGGAGTTGCACTGCCAGCCTAAAAGTGGCCTTCACCTGTGACAGGACAGATTCACCAGCAGCTCTGCAGGACTAAGATGGGCAGTCTCCTCCCGTGCAAGGACAGCACCCCAAAAGCCCCCGGAAGGTCAACTAAGAGTGGGCTCCAGCTCAATGAGTTTGAGTTTCTGAGTGAGATACCTCAACTCCCAGTTCTATTTATTTCCTTAAACTCAGTGTGAACTATTTAGAAAGAAGCCCACTATTATCTTTTTTTAAATATTTATTATTTTTTCACCTGTATTGTAAGCTGTTTCCATAGGGTAAAACCTATGATATTTGAGTTTTTCAAAAGAAATTGTAAGTTATATAAGAAGAAGAAGAAAAATATTTTGAGGGGAGCCACCTGAAGCTTTCTGTCTTAATATGACCACACTTTACAGTTACTGAATTCTTTGTCCTGACCCGCCCCCCGCCCCCCTCCTATTATTTCTCTTTCCTGGGCCCTAGACTCTAAGAGCTTTACAGAGACCCTTAGGAAGGGAAACCAGGCAGTCTCTTTGATGGTTAACTTTACAGGAACTCTCCTAACCTCATTCCCCAATCACTTTGTTCTTAAAAGCTATGGTCGGCTAGTTATTTATGACAACCTAAAATTGGTTCTAATAGAACTCATTTATGATACATTTCAATTCCTCTGGGAATGTCACATTGTTTGTCTGTCTTTAAAACAGATTATGGTTTTGAATAAATAAATGAATCTTATTAAAAGAATATCATGGTGTTTAATGACTTCTCTCTGAGTAAACTTCTCCCTCAATGCTTCTAAGGTAGAATGTTGTTGTTGTTGTTGTTGTTAAGCGCCTTCGAGTCACAGGCAACTCATAGCGACCCTATGAAGGAGAGTTCGTGACGCTTGGGTGCCTTTCATCCTCTCTCCAGGTTCATAGGATTAGAAGGTAAATAAATTCTGCTTTCCAGAGGGAGGATGTCAGTTACCCCCCTTCTCGCAGGAGGATAATTCATCCCACCATCAAAAGCCAATAGCAAAAACCTCCTTAGTCGCCCCATAGACCCCTTCTTATGTTGTTAAGGAGAGACAGGTTCATTTTATTTGATCTTCAAGACTAAATAGTTTGCGGTTGTGTTGATGTCATGGAGTCAGTTTCAATTGAGAGCAATCCTCAGTACAATAGAATAAAATACTCTATCTGGTCCTTGTGGCATCCTCACAATCATAGCCATGTTTGAACCCATTGATGCTGGGTCGATCCACCTCATTGAGGGACTTTCTCTTTTTTGATAGCCCTCTACCAATAATGATGTTCTTCACGGTAACATAACCAATGTACATAAGGTTAAGTCTTGCCATTCGCTCTTCTAAGGAACAGTCTGGCTATACTACCATGACAGACGTATTTGTTCTTCTGTCAGTCACAATGTATTCAGTATTCTTTGCCAATACCACAACTCAAAGGAGCCAACTCTTCATTCTTCTGTATTTATTGGCCAGTGTTCACATGCATATGAAGCAATTGAAAATGTCTTGCCTTGAGTCAAACATACCTTATTCCTCCAGGTATAAATCCTTGCTTTTAACACTTTAAAGAGCTCTTTTGCCACAGATCTGCCCAAAGCAATATTTCATTTGATTTCTTTACTTTTCCCATTGGCTATGGATCCAAGTAAAATAAAATACTTGACAACTTCAATCTTTCTCTCATTTCATCATGATGGTGCTTTCTGGTCCTGATGTGAGCACTCTTGTGTCCTTGACATTGAGGTGTAATCCATATTGAAGACTAGAATCAGTGCTCTTCATAAGTAAGTCCTTCAAGTCTTCTTCACCTTTCTGGAGCAAAGATTCATCATCTACATATTGTAGGTTTTTAATGGGTCCTCCTATATACATCAAAGTTAGAAAATAGGCAAGGGGAGGCTTATAGTACACTTTTTGATTCTTCAGACTTCAAAGATCCAGAGATAGATGCTACTGTGGCTTATTTTTAAACTCACAAGCTTATTCTTAAGATTAAGTAAGATAACTTGTTAACATAGCTTCCAATCTTATGAAGTGGTCCCAGTACACAGAAGTTGGGTGTTTCTGGTATTCACAACTAAACACATTTACAAATCCTTTTGATCTGAGGCCAGAGGCAGCAGGGTTAGACACTACAGGCTGGGAAATGATCAAGTTAGATGACTTGACTGATCAACCAGAGACTCAAGTTGCTGCTGTCTTTTCTGTCCCCTCCTTGAGCCATGAGACATATGTGAGGTTGGCTTCTGGCTGTGGTGGGCTGGGAGGAGCATGATGGCTTGGGGCAGCCCTAATCAAAGCCCTGTGACTTGGAGGAGAGAAGGGAAAGAATGGGCTGAGTAAACACTCCCTTACCCTCTGTTCAGGTCTGAGGAGGGCAGGAGCTGGCTGACTGTGGTCAGTTTTTCAGTAAGACCTGACTCATGTAGTTAAAGTAACCATCGGAAGGAAGTGGGAAGCATCAAAGCTGAAACTCTGAGATGAAAGGTTAGGTTTAAGAATGGAGGCTTCGCAGAAGGTTAAAGACTGAGGCGCTCGCTATGTTCAGGCTTGCTCTACTAAACCAGAGAAGACATCTGAATCCCTTGATATGGAAAATGTGGTTTACACTGCCAGGCAATGCATGCTAATTTAAATTTGAGGTTGGTACCTCATGAGCGGGAAGAGGGCTTCTAAACCGATATACAGAAACTCACCTGGAGAGCAGTACTTCTGATAAGATGTTAACAACATTGTTGTTGTTGTTGTTGTTGTTATGTGCCATTGAGTCACCTGAGACCCGTAGCACCTCTGAAGACTGTCCTGTCCTGAGCCAGTCTCAATGATTCCAACACACCAATCCCCATTGTCCCAGTTACTATATCAATCCATTTCATCTGGGGTCTTCCTCTCCTGCACTGTCCTTCCACTTTTCTGACCATGATGTCCTTCTCCAAGGATCAGTCTCTCTCCTGGCCATGTGCCCAAAGTCTATGAGATGGAGCTTCAAAATTCTAGCCTCCAAGGAGAAATTTGGTTTCACCCTCTCCAAGACAGACCTATTTGTTTTCTTGGTGGTCGATGGTATATTCAAGACTCTTCTGTAGCACCGCAATTTGAAGATACTGATTCTTCTTGTCATCTTTAGTCTTTGTCCAACTCTCTGAAGCATAGCAAGTAATTGCAAAGACCATGGCCTGTATTAGGCACACCTTGGTCTCTGGACTGCTTTTCAGTACTCTGGAGAGGTCCCTGACAGCAGATTTTCCCAGTGCACTTTGTCTTTTGATTTCCTGAACTGCTGGTGCCAAGTGTTGATTATGGAGCTGAGCAAGCTGTAATTGTTAACACTGTCAATCTCTTCATCATCTATCATCATGGTGCCAATTGGCCCAGTGGTAAGAATCTTTGTCTTCTTGATGTTGAGCTTCAATCCATATTTAAGGCAATAGTCAACCTTCTACAGCAAGCATTTCAGGTTCTCCTCAATTTCAGTAAGCAGGTTTTGTCATCTGCATAGGTTGTTTATGAGTCTTCCTCCAATACTGATGCCACATTCCTCCTTATAAAGCCCGACTTCTCGAATTATCTGTTCTGCATATAGATTGAAAAGGTATGGAGGCAGGATGCATTCCTAATGCCCTCCTTTGCTGATTTTAAACCGTGCAGTGTTTCCCTGCTCTATTCTGAGGACTGCTTCCTGGTCCAAGTATAGGTTTCATATAAGCACAATCAGTGGTCTGGGATTCCCATTCTCCTCAAGGTTAGCCACAACTTGTCATTATCCACACAGTCAAATGCCTTTGCATAATCAATGAAACACAGATAGACAATCCTTTGGTACTTTTCATTTTCTGCCAAGATTCATCTGACATTGACAATAATGTCTCTAGTGCCACGACTTCTTCTAAACTGACTTTGTATTTCTGGTAGTTCTCTGTCAGTGTTCTGTTTCTGTCATTTCTGGATAATCTTCAGGAGGATTTTGCTAGCATGTGATGTTAACAATGGTTACCTTTAATTGAGACCTTACTTTGAACTAGTCAGGGCTAAGTACCTATATGTTCTAGCATCCTGTTATATAATGATAGTTGTTGTTGTTGTTGTTGTTGTTGTTGTTGATTGTCTTCTAGTTGAGCATGACTCATAGCAACCCTATGAACAAAAGGCTTGAAGCCCGAGATCCAAGATGGCGGTGGAGACAGAGGCGGCGTGGTGAGCTGCGGGAGCAGCGGACCACTTAAAGCAGGGCCATTATGGCCTTCCACAGACTTCGGCTTATTGATAATTGAACACTTAAACAGTTGATGACTGGCCCTCAGTGAAGATCGAGGCTCAACAACAGGAATTCAAGGATTCCCAAGGAGAAATGGGTGAGTCTTGTGGCTCCCAACTCCCCCACCCCTGCAGAGCCTGCGTGGGGCTGCACAGCCGCTGCAGCTCCATGAGGCTTCCACAGCCAGAACAAATGGATTCCTTCACCCAGGATGGATTCTGGGAAACGGCCCTCCTCAAGACTGGTACAGCAAAGCCACCACACTGCCGCAAGGTGGACTTGGTCCGGAGAGAATTCTTGGAGCCAGGATGGCGGCTGTGGGAAAGCGGGTGCCGGCCAGCAGCCCACACAAGAGGGGCTGCGCAGCCGCCAAGAGCCCATACGGCGGCGGGGGGCGGGGGGGGCGTGCCCCCAACAGCCGCCCATGCTGGGGGGGCATGTGCCTCCTGCAGGCCTCCTGCATGGGGGGGGCACCCCACTGGCCGCCTGTGTAGGAGGTGGGAGATGGGATGCCATCTGCAGG